ATTTTAAAAAATTCATATCAAAATAGATCCGAATTTCAGCATCAGCCGTTTTCAGCATCAGCTGCGACAATTAATAATACCCTGACCGTATGTGAATAAGCGGAAACTTCGTTTCCGCTAATCCCCAACGGATCAGGATATTATTATTACGAATATCCTAAATAGCATAGAATATGTAAACTGCGCAATGCGCATATGCATATTTGTTTATCACCATAGTCGATATTGTCTAAATGCATGATTTTTAAAAAAAAATTAAGAGTAATAATGCATTTAGACAGTTAATTTTCTGATATCTGATTGGTTAATTCTGTATAAATGCATAAAGTTAATTTTTTTTGTCTTTCCCGATTGTACGTATGCATTTAGAAAGCATCAACTGTATAAGGAAATTTAAATACGTATTCTTGATCTTATTACGTATATAGGATGGATAAGAAAATTAGGTATAAAAGAAGTGCATCTTGAATGTATAGGAACAAAATAAATTTTTTGGAACTTAAAACCAAAATGAAAGGCAAAAGAACAAAATCAAGGCTTTCCATCAGAGAATTCATGAATACCGATAGTGTATTCTACCCAAACCCCTCATACAACAACTATTTCGTTCAAAACCCTATACTCATCCAAAATTTTGTAGTCTGCCAAAATTTTGCAAATCCCGTATTCAGTCCAGAACCACGTATTCAGTCCAAACCACGTATTCGGCCCAAATCATGTATTCAATCCAAACCTTTTTGTCGTAATCAAAAAAGTACAAAAGAGATTGGTAATGTTTTTGAACGTCAAATTGAAAAATTATTAAACAAACATGAAATTAAAGCACATATTTTTCCTTGTCGACAAGGAGATGGTGGAATTGACATTATTGCTACATTTAAAAGACGAAATATTCTTATTCAATGTAAAAATGTTGGTAGTTCCATAGATGTTAATAAGTTAAAAATTTTTGAAACCTCGGTTTCCCGGTTTGGAAAGGAGGTATTAAGTGTTATTGTTTATAATAGTAAAAAATTGAAAAATAACCCTTTAACTACAAATGCCGAGACATGGCGGAAAGGGTCATGTCCTAATATTTGTATTGAAACTGAGAAAACAATTGTTGATTGTATTAAAAATAAGATAACACAGACAAAATTCAAACAAACCGAAGAGTCGGAAGAATTAGAAGAATCAATGATGGAATTAGAAGAATCAACAGAATTAGAGTCAGGATTAGCTAATGAATTAGATGATGAATTATCGGAATCAGAGTCAGAGCAATATTTTGAAGAAACATTTTCAGTTAAACAAACAAGTTTCAAGAATGGTCAAGATATTAAACGGCATATTGAAAATTTATTAAATCAAAATGGAATTATAGCTAACCTTTTTCCTCAACGACGTGGAGATAATGGAATTGATATCATTGCTACATTTAAGAGAAAAATCATTCTTATTAAATGTATAAATGTTAGCAGTCCTGATGACAACATTTTAAGAGATTTTCAAGCTTCAGTTTACCGGTTTGGAGAAGGAATATTAAATGTTATTGTTTATAATAATGAAGAATCGAATAATTCTTTAATTAAAAATGAAGGATCATCTATTGAAATTGTTAGTGCGGAAATTATTGTCAAATATATTAAAAATAAGTTATCAAAGAAACCATCGACAGTCACAATTCCAAATGATAACAATAGCGAATCATGGAATTGTCCAAGATGTACATTTAGAAATTCTTCACTGATGTCACAATGTGAAATGTGCTCGAATGCACGCCAACAATGGAGTTGTCCAGGTTGTACATTTCAAAACGAAAGTGATGCTATTAGGTGTGTATCATGTTATTACGTTAATGGTTACTAAATACATGGACATAGTGTTGTCCAAATAGAATCTCACTAAGTGGATTATATTTGAGTGACATTTTAAATTTGTTTGGGTAGTCTGAGAATTTTGAATCAATCCAAAGTTGATTCCAAATCTCTTTAGGTGATAATTTTTAAAATTATAAACGATTGTAATTTTCATTAATTTAGTGTTGGATTTGTGCTTTAATTAGTTGATAACAAAATACTTATAAAATACCAAACTTTGTAGTGTTTCAAGGCAAACTCTTAGAGTTCTTACGAGCTATATTTACAAACATTTTTATCTTTATAGTTATTATTTTTACGCATTTATAAGTTCTTACGAGCTATATTTACAATGCTTCTGCATACATTTTTATCTTTATTATTATTATTTTTACGTATTTATAACTTTGATAGAATCTAATTCTGGAAAGTTTGCTCAGCACCTCTGATGAAATTTGAATTAGAAGGTTGAGATTTGATTATCCGTTAAAGAAACGAGTTTTATTAATCATTTGATTAATTCTAAATCAATATATTAAACAGAAATTGAATTCTCTTATCACTCAAGCTTATTCAGAATTTTGTTACAACTCATGTCGACATAACTTGTATATTATTATTAATTTTTTTCATAAATAAAAAAATAAAAATTAATTAAATGGGGTTTTAGTTCTTGATCGCATGGAATCGCAGAATCTTTATGAAGACCTCTGCAGATCAGATAAGATAACAATGTCATGTGAGAATTGAAGATTTTGTATATTTAAATATAGGATTAAGAGAAATTTTATAATTAATTCGATCTTAGCATTTTAATTCTGAAACCCAGCTACCTTTTTTTAATCTGTTCTTTAGATCTGTAATATCTGTGAAATCGTGTGATTGTAGTGATTTTGGCCGATCAAAATTTTTCGGTTATGACTAAGCCGATAAATTTACCAGCTTGGCCGGCTTAGCCGATTTTAAAATTACACCATTTAATTCGAACTTTACTGAAAATTTTTGACCTCAACCTTGCTCATATTCAATCTAAAAAAATCGACCGGCTAAGCCGATAAGTTGCTTTTAGCCGATTTTTTCACTATCAGCCAAGATCGTAGTGATCTAGATTTCGTTGAATTTATGCTCTACAATATGGTGTATTCAAGTTTACTTGGTTATTAATTGATTACGTATCTACATCTAATGCAAATACATGGTATTCGAGGGACAATTTACATTATGTAATTATATAGTGAATATTCATTATAACGGACGGAATTTCCCAACTCGATCAATCCGTTATAGTGAGTGAACTGTAAATACAATTTTAATAACGATAAATTGTAGCTTAACCAACTTTCGGAATTTTATTTCTTATCATGTGATCTTTAACAGCTGAGTTAGCCTAAAAAATGGTGATTCACTAGGATGGGATTGGACCGGACATAGACTGGACTTTTAGGGGCTAGTTTAGAACTAGCGAAACTCATCCCTGTAATATTGTGATTTCAAGATAGTCTAATTGGCTAATTCAAAATGTAATCGTTCAATAACGATAATAATCCAATTCATTTTTTAAGTGCTGAAAAAAAAGACAAATTTTTTAAAATTAATTTTTTTGCATCAATTAATTTAAAATAAAATCAGGATCATTTTGCATTTAAGACACAAAAATAGTTGTACAGTATTAATAAAATGTTGCAGTATAGATCTTCATAATTGCAATTTCCTATGATTTATTATAAAATTTATAAGCTTACGTAATTGATTTTTCGAAGATCTTTCAGGGATATATTAAAAAATTCGGTTCTTAAAAAGTCCGGAACTGGTTAGTAACGAGTTCTTGATCTCAGTCTAACCCTTGTGTTTTAATATATGGGCTAAGTGCTGCAAAAAAGGGGGAAACTAGCCCATTTGGAAATACAAGTTGTAAAATTAAAATTTTAGGGTTAGAACGTTAAAGTTAGATGCTATACTGTAGAAATAAATGATTACTCTCCACACGGAAAATTCCAGTGTTGGCACTTGGTATATGTCCATATTTTTTAAAAAATTTGGACTATGTCCAAACCTATATGTCCATGTCCATAAATTACTATGTCCATATTTGTCCATATTATTTTTAATAAGTCCAAATGTCCATATTGCCCAACACTGGAAAATTCATTCCCGTTCATTTTTAATTCGTGCTCTAAGACATGTATTTTCGTTTTTTCTCACGTGTCGAGCTGATCCAGATAACATTTTACGTTCTCCGATTGGCTAATTTCCCACAAATAAGTGCACACCACAAATTCTGTGTCGGTGATCAACGATTAGTGAAGTTGATTCGCATTCTTGATATCTATATATAAATAATAACAATTACCGCATCAAAAAAGTAACCTTAATCCATATTCGTCCCTGGAAAATGTATGGGGAAATTAATTAGCCAATCAAATCGACACGGATCAGTCTGACAAAAAAAAACAAAATAAAATTACGCGTCATTAACTTTGTATTTCACACATCTTTGTATTTTTATTGTAAGAGTATCTTTTTAAAAACAAAAAAGAAAAGTATCCCCGCTGTAGAAACAAAAATGATGAAAAAAGAAAGAAAAGCCACAAAGATAGCAAAAATGTACTTCACATACAGAAAATTTTCTCTAAAGAAAATAAGAACGAAACATTCTTGGTAGCTACAAAAGAATATTTCTAGCAGTAATCAAGTTCTTTTTTTTTTAGAATCTCTTTGTGAGATCGTCAAAGTAACTTGTTTGATGTAGCGAGAAGATGTTATCATCTTCAAAACGTGTTGCAAAAGCGATTACCGCTTGATTAATATAGTCGTCGGCACTACGAAAATTTTTTTGGGGTTTTTTTGTGAGACTACCAAAGCAATTTATCGAACAGGAGGAACCGTCGATACTACACGACTGATCCTTCACCCGGTGTGCAACATATAAAAAAATTATTTTACAATACCAGATCGTTTCGCTAGTACATGTTATGATTATAATCCCACACCATTTTTATTATAATAAAATGGTGTGGGATTATAATCATAACATAGATTAGCGGAATGATCTGGTATATGTTGCACCCCGGGTGAAGGATCAGTCGTATAACATCGACAGTTTCTTCTGTTAATTTATCGTTGCTAAGGTGGCTTTTGTTATATCTTCGTTAATTTAATTTTTTTTAATATATTAGTTTATTGATCACAATTCATGAATCGAATCCGTTGCTCAAGAGTTACATGAAGAATCGACTTCAAATATTCTAAATATTTACTGAAATTATTAAGCAGATATTTCAAGTTTCTAGTCCGCAGATTAAATATAATCATCTAAATGAAAAAAACCAAACAACCTAAAGGCTATATTTCAAAGTGGCATATTTGGAAATGAAAACCAAACTAAAAATTGAAATTGATTTATTAAAAAAGAATTATAATATAATTTATTAAGTTTTTTTTTTCAAAGCCGTACTTCATAAATAAATAATTTTTATAATTAATTATGCGGATGCTAAAAAGATAGGGTTAGGGTTTTTTTTCTTTTTCTCAATTAATATTTGTGATGTTTTACAATCTATTTTGCCATGATTCCATTTTAGTTATAAGTATATACAAGATTTAGGATTCTACAACTTATAGCCCATAATTATACCATTCAATTTTTTAGGCATGTATCTCTGTAATTATCATACAAATCAAAATTATCAAATTTATATCATACTATCTACATATCGCTATAGCGTAAATCTTGATACAGTAACAGATTTAATTGTACTAACTCGTAGTAAGTTGAAACAGTTTTATATTATGATATTAAATAGGTCAAAAGCGAATTAATAAGATACGTTGTAATGGTTTATTTTTCAATTCAATTGATATTTTTATAAAATGCGTATATAAAAGAATTTTGAAAAATCCGTTATACCGATATAAAGTAGTTTTTTACTAATATGTATATAACGGATTTATAATAAATTTTGAATTTAAAAGCCGCTATATCTATTTCATCATATATACGTGTCCATTATATCCATATTTGAATAAAGAATTTATTTTATCATAAAATTTTCGTGGCAATTAGAAACTGCAGTTAGATTTATTAATAGCAATTATTCCACGTTTCTATATGATCGCATGACGGGGTTTACAACTCATAATCACTACTTTAATCAGTAAAAAAACGGGGTTTCTAGCAATGCAAGTTATTTCCCCGGAAGTCCGGGGAAATAACAAGCGTTGCCGGGGAAATAACTCGCATTGCTAAAAACCCCCGTTTTTTTATTTG